CCCCAAAACCCCAAAACCCCAAAACCCCAAAACCCCAAAACCCCTTTTGAACAGATGTTCATTGAAAAAATATCAAAATCACATATTTTTGTGATGGACTCTGTAAGCTATAGTGCATTTCTCATATTCGAGAGCTCTGTTTTCTTCCCTCCCATAAAGTTCGGCTTATTGGAAGATTTATTTCCAAATGGCTTAGATGCATTAGAACCTAGATTATGAGTGCCGGGTGTGACGTAGGCTTACCGAATGGCTTAGAGTTTGATTTTTCTGCATTAATTCTATGGGATAACGAATAAAATTTACCTATTCTTCGTTTCATGATTCACATTACTTAACTGCCCTTTTTGCCTAAGTGCAAACGCGTTTTTGGTGGAGGGGATCTGTGGCTACATACGTTAGGAATTTAGTCAATACCTCTGGAGAATTAATCTTTTTGGTAGTAGACCTCGCTACCCTGTTTTTCTTTCTTGTACTCTTAATAATAGCATCTAGCTTGTTCATCATTTTATTCTTCTTAATATCCAATTCTTCGGGGAGATCTTGAATACTTTTTATGGATTCCTGTAGGGTTCTTTCTGCATCTTTCTCTGTGATAAATTTTGACTTGATCATCAACTCGTTAGCCTTCTCACGAATCTCTATAGTCTTGTTTTGTCTCTCTTTGATTCTGTTGATAATATCATTTCTTTCTTCCAGGAGTTCAGCTAGCTTAGTCTTGTGTTTGAATAACTTTCTCGCATATATATCCTTATCAGCTTCCATTGCTTGCTTGAGGATCTTCTCCTTGCGAGCATAAGTCTGGGGATCTTTTTCAATTTTACTGGCTGGATCTTCTATTTGCTCTATTTCATCTAGGTAAATCCCTTTTGCATTAGCTTTGGTCTCCAGTTGCTCTAACTTCTGCTTAGTCTCTGCATATGCATCAGCCTGCTCACTTTTGGTGCGTTGCTTGAACTCCAATTGTGCATTTAGCTTATCCAATTTTTCATAAAGGATGCTCATTTCTTTACCTTTCTTTTTCATCTCAAGGACGGAATCTTTCTCGCCCTTTTGGATAATTTTATTCGCTTCCCGGTCTTTGTTATATTTATTTGTCATAGAGTTCGCGTTCTTCCTCCTCAAATTGCTTGATTTCCTACAAATTATACAGCCAGACTACCTTTTTATTTATCAGAGATTTGTTTCTTTAGATCCATAGAGTAGCTCAGATCGCCTATCACTGCAAGGCGCTCCTTCAATTTCTCATGTTGTTGAGTGAGATTTCCTATGATTTTCTGGTAATTCGTATTTTCAGCCTCGTTAACTTTTAACTTATAGTCAACGGATAGATTTTCAATACCATATTTATTTGCGACCCATTTTCTTAATCTTGTAATCCTTCATCACCTCTATATAACCTGTTAGGCTATTATTGAGATTTTTGAGAGTTTCTTTCAGAGCGAGGTTCTCTTGAGACAGGACTATTAGCTGATCCTCCTCGTCGTCTCAGGTATCAGCATGATCACGGATCTCTGTAGTCTTCTTGAGAGTCTCCTTAGCTCTCTCTATTTCTATTTTAATGGTTGTCTGAGGATTTGTATGTGCTTGGTATCTAATTTTATCAAGAATTCTCTTACAGTTTTCCAGTACTATAAGCCATAGACTGGCTCAAGAAGCTTTGTGTGGTTCCTCTCTTTGAACCAGGAAAGGGTTTGTGACCTGTTCTGGGCTTTGAGTACCCCTTCCTTTTGCCAGTCTGCTTGATTGAGTTATTGAAATTTTTTAAATTTGAATTGGCAGAGCGCCCAGGCTTGCTCATACTGAATTTATTATTCTTTTGGTCATATTGAGGGTTACTTCCGCTCATTTTTAACGATCCGTTAGGCTTTGGATTAGGACTTTTGTGAGTCTTTTTATCAAAAGGGTTGAAAGGAGAGCTCTTTGTAATATCCTTTGTCCTTCCTGGACCTATAATATTAAATGAGCTAATAGCTTGAAAGGGTTTCCTACTAAGTTTGTTGAGCTGCGTATCTCCTCCTATACCTATGTCTTGAGTAGGATTGCTTTTCTCAAAATCATGGGACTCTGTTTTAGAATAATATTGCATTTTTCTAAATGAAGCTTTATTATTTATAGATTAATGTTTGGGGTTTTGGGGTTTTGGGGTTTTGGGGTTTTGGGGTTTTGGGG